TGTTCACTGCAGGCACTGGCTGTGATGTAGCCTCTGGAGCGCTCGCAACAGGAACGTCCATCTCCAATTTCATTGTTGATTGTTGCTGGACAAATGAAGCAAGACCCTGAATGGTTCGTTCTCCCATAAACTTAATGGGAGTATCTGAACCGTTCTTGAAAAACCAAACTGTTGGAAAGCCTGTGACCTTGTACTTTTCATCCGGCAACTTGTTCTCCGTTCCGTCCATCTTGGCAACCACGAGCGCCTGGCTAGCCGACTTTGACTCAGATGCCAGCTTTCCAAATTCTTCGTAAACAGGATCAAGCTTCTTGCAGTGTCCACACCATGGGGCATAAACCATCAAGAGCACGTCCTGCATGCAAATATTGCAGGATGTGGCTCTTTGTGTGCGTGTCACTGGTAGATCACAGAAATCGCTGGGTGGTTATGTAAAGCTGTATGGCGTGTAATTAAAGATGAGCGTCATGGTAAAGTATGCGATAGGGTTGTTTCTTTGTTAGAGTCTGCAGACGATCTATCTCCGGAGAGACGTGACTCAACATGTGTACGGGCAGTACCTTGTTGCTTGCGAGCACTTCTGTGTGAAAGCTGTCGGCGTCAATTTGAAGAACTGGTATATTTAGCTTGTCCGATACACTGCGGCCTGAGGTTTTAACTGACTCGTGCTTCTCGTTTTTTAATATTCGAAGCCCACTGAGCTCGGCAGGTGTCGTGGCGTATTGCTTTACAAATGCTGCAAAACCTTCATCTGTCTTCGAGCCAGAAAATATCATCGGCTTCTTTTCATTCTTTCGGATAAACCAAATTGTTGGGTATCCCTTGATGTCGAATCCCTCATGTTGGATCTCGTTTGTGGGTCCGTTCATTTTTGCAACGTCCAACACTGCGGCCGCCGCGGGATCCGCAGCAACCGAACGAGCGAAACGGAAGTATGCTGGCTTTATGGCTTTACAGTAGCCACACCATGGGGCAGACACCATAAGGAGCACATCCTGATACACCCAGCAACGCACCATATCAGTGAATATGGCTTCACGCAAGGGACATCGCAGCCTGACTAGGTTTAAAAAAATGCTGAAGAGTCAAGCAGTCATTCCATTCGCGTTTGCGAAGCTCTGTCCTTACCTTGTTTGAATTCAGTACAAGCTGCTCAAAATTGTCGGCGACTACCTGTTTCACAGGCCCATCATTTTTCGCCGGAATGGGGTCAGAAACAGTTTGCTGGCTTTCTTGTAGAGCCTCAATGCGATGCTGCACAGGAATTTTCGAGTTGATGAAGTCAGTGGCTGTGGACATCGATAAGTGGCCTTCAAGCTGCTGGGGAACACCAGATCCAGATTTCAAGAAAAAGAGTTTTGGCTCGTTGGTCGTCTGGAGCCACTTTAACGGGAAGCGTTTGGAGAACACTTCAGCAGACGCAAACATCAAGTTAGCACCCGCTGCTTTGTATTTTCGCGCCATAAGCACGAGTGTTGGGAAGACTCGGACACTCTTGTTGCAAAATGAAGAGTGAACGATGACGACAGCATCCTGCGGCAACGTAGAAGTCCTAACAGCACCAGGCTCCTTGAAGACTAACATGGTAACAGGCAGATGTCAGTGCAACCTCAGCAGTCAACTTTGAGTATAGCGCGAGCGAAATGCGTAGACACAGGCAGATGGTCTCTTGCACGCACTTTCCTGGCATTGTGAAGAACTGTTTCAACCGAATCCGGTTGGAGAGGGAGGATTGGATAGTCTTCCAGTTGAGATTGCGGATCCGGAGAGTTGCATGTATTATACTTCGGCTGGTGAGCTAGCGGGACCCACATCATGTCCTCTGCGACCTTTGGGACTCCGTTCTGTCTTGCAGCATAGGCCTCCAGCGCCCGGAAGTAGTAACACAGCACTCGTTCAGGCAGCATATGTGACCTTGCATATTCTCGAGCTGCAATCAAACAAGAACATCCCCTGACTGAACAACTAGTCCTGCTGATCTGAAACTTAGCAACAAGAGCAGAACATCCCCCAGAGTTTTGCACGCACATAGAGATGGAGCTCTTCAAACCACACCTGCTTCATACAAAACAGCCTAGCTCCCCCAATAAGCAGTCATCGTGTGCACCGATACAACTTTCCCTGTAGGAAGCCGTGGATACTGCAATAGAGACGCCTGGCTAGTAAGTGTACTCGATGATAGCTCATTATGCGCACCATTAGCAGCAATTCCTTGGGCCTCGCTGTCGTGCTCCCTTGCCCACTGTAGCTTCACAAGTAAGTCTTCGCCAGTGCCGTCGAACGGGACATAATGCTGCCACGGCTTGAGCTCTTTTTGATACCACTCGTAATAGGGACTTTCTTGCTTCAGCAGCAAGCTACCACCTGAGCGAATCAGGTGGGCCAGAAGGGCTGAAGCGGGCTCTTTGATGAAGGCTTTCGAGGTGACCCAGCATGCAGTCATAGGTCAGGGCATGGTGTAAATCTAGCGGGACATGTGGGTACGATCTGGAATGCGTTACATTTCTAAAGTTCTGTTGTGCAGATGTAAGAGCCATGGCTGGCGTACTGGCAAGAAGGTAAGGGTTCCTGTACGCAGCAACTGTGCCATCCAGCTGAAGAATGTACTTGTACTTAGAAAACTCCCCGAGCTTGAGGAAATGCTTCTTGCCTCCACCCAGCTGCTCTTCAACTTCGATATTTTCATCGTTTTCCCAGCTTGTAATCACCACATCCAGGAGGTCAGGATGCTGTGCAGAGAGCTGTGCCAGTTTTACGCGGACGGCGCTGCTGTCGCGGCCCCTAAACGCCGCTCTGGAGTCTCTGGATGCCCACGGAAGAAGGCCCCACCCCTGCATCAGTTGGACAGCACCTATGAAAAGATTTGTAATTAGCATTTGGGTAACGCGGCAAGCGGATTACGGATAGCCATACAGGCGAAAACTCTAAAACTATGAGCTCCAGTCCCCTGACACTCTAAATATGCGCGCAACTAGGGAAGGCAGAAGCTGACACTCATCCCATAGATTTAGACACGACCGTAGCCTTTTCCTAGGGACTAACACCCTCTGGACACGGTTTGAGCCTGTCCTATGCCCAGTGCTTACCTGAGAGGCGATAAGATCCGGGTTTGATTCAGTATTACCAAGAACTGTGGAGCGTGTAACGTCCCATTGCGGAAACACTATGTCAAATGAGTCAGTGGAGCCGCACCATGAGAACACTGGCACTCTGCTCTCGCCCCACTTCTTCTCCACGAGGGGCCAATCGCCCACATTCAGCACAAACTCCACGTCTGCAGGCAGCCGATGCGCGCACCTAATTGCCTCATGAGCCCTAACCTCTGCCCAGTCCACCAAGGCATGAAAAACAACCAGAAAGATAATTTAGTCATGTATGCAATCGAAGCAGATACCACCGCTGACGCAGTACATTTGGCAACTAAGAAAGTGTATCTCTTATCGGGAATGGTAGAATAATTGGTCACCGCCGCAGAACTGACTGATTTGGCCAGCAGGGCCAGTGATGGCTACGAGCCCCTCTGTGTATGGCACATTGTGTATCTGACTACTCACCAGGCAGCCTAACGGTAGCCGCCAATTGGTTGAACATTAAGTCAGCAAAGTAAGAAAACGCCGGGAAAGGACCGTAGGCCTTCCTATATAGCTGGTTATCCTTGATTACGTAGTGCAACAAGGATGTTGCTGAACTTTTGCTTAAGAGCTTGGGAACAGCTGAGCGCAATTTGACCAAGTCGATTGTCGGAAAGTTTTTAAAATCCTGAGGCCACTCATGCACAAAGATAGGGCAGAATCTAGCGATTTTAAGAACTGCCGGGGCCTACTTCCACTTTTGATAGTACATGACTGCCCAAAGACTACAATGCCACGAATTCACAAGCAGGTATCACTTGCAAGTCTGGTGCGCATTAAATGTACAGCTGCTCCTTGAGGCTGCCTTATGTGTCAGGCTGCTTATGCTAGCCTGCCCCGTACAGGTCACCCCATCAACAGACCCTTGGGAAGTGTCACTGAAGCCTCTCCTAGAGCAGCAGAGCACTCTTTGGGCCCGGGATATCCAAACTACACCATAGTTTTCACTGAAGAATTGCAATACGCGTTAACTTCGGCGTGCCATGCTTGCCTCACCTCTGCCACTTGAGGTATGTCGCGGGGACAGCCCATAGCTTTTGCCCAGTCACTCGAAGACACGGGAGCAGCGCAGCTTGGCTCGTGAATGGGACCCGGTATGGATATTTCAGCGGTTTCAACCGAAAAGGATGCACTCCGGTCTGCGTAGCTTGCCCTAAAGCGGAGCGCATATCCTCTAGGAACGCCTTCCCTCACCCTGTAAGTCACAACATAGTCCCCATGTCCCAAGTCGTGAACTTCAGACTCCACTGGGCTTCCAAAGCGTCCAGGAATTGGGGGTATGATACTCCAGTTGAGAAGAATTTGACCTGTGACGAAATCGGGGGGGACCTCCTTCTGGCCAGCAGAGTTGTGAACCGCTAGACGAAAATAGCGAGTGGGAGAAGCGAATGAAGGGTCCAGTCCTGGGCCCTTCTTAATTTCAAAGGTATAGGCAGGCACTCGCGAGCGATAGAATAAGCCCACGTACAGAGCAACTGCAGCGACTGCAAGCCACGCCCATTTGGAACGAATTGCACCAGTCCAACGTCTAAAAAACTGACGACGCCAGCGAGCTGTACTATTTGCAGCTGCAGCTTTGGCCGCTTTGTCCTTCACGGAAGTGGAAAGTTGCGACTGCTGCTGCCTGGCTGGCGTACCCATTTTAGAACCGGTGGATCCGATTTGCAGCCAACTCACTAACAAATAACTCAGCAAGTTTAAATGTCCTCAGCCAGCTGGCCTTGGACGCCAATGGAGCTCTTAATCTTAAGACGCGATGTTCGAGCCACTCGTATACTCGGGGAATGGGCCTAAACGAGGATCTGGACCAAACGTGAGGAGGCACACGGTAGCGTCCGCGTATTTGTTGCCACCAGAATCACGAAGACACGTAGGTTCTCGCAACGTTTAAGACTCAAAAAAAAAAATTTGAGCATTATATATTTACTGAATTAAAATGATAACAAGTCAAATAACGTGTCTGACTGGCAGCGAGGCTCACGTGTCTGTGGCAGCTGTCTGCCTGTCCTATGCCTCAGTCTACACAAATGCTTCAGCTGGGCAAATATGCCTTTTCAGATCAAAAAGGAACAGATCAATAGCAGTCACGTTACAAAAAAGTGGCCTGAAGTCGGTTGTCTTGCGGCCAGCTAGCGTACTACAGGAGAGACTCAATGGCCTGCAGCCCCAATTAGCGTCTACCAAGCCATCACAGGCGTCTTTGAGTATAATTTCCAAGGAACCGAAAAAATTCTCATAGGAATTAGTGAGTGTCTTCGAAGGAAAGCTAGCTGGAGGACAACCTGTTCTCCGCAAGTAGCAGTGGCATGGCTGGGCCTTCTGCACAAAAGGTAACGTGGGAAGAAGACCTAGTCGCAGCAAGTTGCTCAAAACGAGATGCTATGTGGGCTGCGTTGGAAGAGCTTTCCCCGACCTTCCATCGCATTCTTGTAGCTAGTGTATTACACAAAAGTGAGGCCAGGGCAAAAGTGAACGGCTGCCTCGGCTGGAAGCCAAACTGTAACTAGCCCTTTGCGGCACGGACCTTTCATAACACGGTTCGTAATATCCACGTAACAGTGCTTAACTACAAACTTCGGAAAGATCAGGCGTCCACTGCTACTTACTACCCTGTTGCACCGCCTCCAAAGTTGCTCGTCGTGAAAAATGACCCGACGCCACCAATTTTGCCCACACAACATGCCTACTAAAACATTTGCCCATTAGGATCGCCATTCGAAGACTTCACTTGTCTTCTACGTGCTGTGTGCCTGGAATCAATCTGATCCTATGGCATATTGAAAATGCCTGTTCCACCAATAAGGGGGAAGGACACTTAACTTAAATCCTGGGTACAATTTTCGCACGCCACTCTCCGTTGTTGAGCCACTTGCGACCCTTGAACATGGTCTAACTATGCCGTTTTGCAGAGCCTCTCCAATGCCTTCAAATTTCTACCAATACAGCGGTTTTTACTTTCCAAAAGGACTCCAATTAAATTCGGCGGGTGCCGCCTACTTGGGCACATTTCTGTTGAAGAGATCTACTACACGAGATTGTTGAAGATTCTCCTCCACACGCTCACAGGGCGAAGTTCGTAGATCACAACCGTGCGCCCATCTTTCAGCACTTTCTCGTATTGTCTCAGCTCCACTTGGCGCGACGCGATGAGATGGTTATATACGCCCTGTAGAATCCATCGCACACTCCCCACACAGCGGGCAATTCAGATAACTGTGCATGATACGTCAGTTGCGGAGGAACTTCCTAATGTCTGAGCATGATACGACGATGATTGAGCGCTACAGCCACGCTTTTAAAGATAGAACTTCCTGGAATGGATGCGCGAGGCTACTGAGCAGGCAATGAAAATACGTTCTTGTTGTGCCACCTGCCAAATTGCAACTTGAGTGGTCAGGGGCTCTATTTCCTCTGCAGTCTCCCTCCTCACATAAATATTTGGCTGTAGCAAGCGTATAGAGAAGGGTTGCGAAGCCTCCGAACGCGACGTGGGTAGCGGACGACCATGCCACACAATAGGGGCCCAGGATCCCCCCGGCGTATTCCTTCCAGTGGCTTGCAAAACACCGACAATTTGCATCTTTTGCCTCCCCCTTTCTCGTCGATTCTGCCTACAGACTGATTTGGCCGGAATCGAATCGCAACTCCACTGAACAACAGTTGCGACGGCGGAAAGTGCTGCGGCATCGTCCGATGCTAGCGGGGGAAGTACCGCAGCCACTGGGCGTCTGGTAGTCCCAATTAGGCCTGATGAAGCACTCGTAGTGGGTAACAGGACTGTTGCATCTCCACTGAACGAAGTCAATTGAATGACGCAGACAACAAGGAACAGCGCTGGACACAAGCGCTTCACTCCATGTAGGGTTGCCATGACGAAGGCAGGCTAGGGCGAAGAGCCACTACTGGCACTATGCACGTGCATCCATGCACTTTGGGGTTGTTGCTCGCCAGGTTTATCTTCGTCGACAAATGGAGGATCGACCTAGGAGAGCAAAAATGCATGCTTCCCCTCGATGTGTTCGAATCTGTAGTCTGTGAGGAACGGTGACGCCCTCGTTTCTGTTTTCCAGTGTATTTATTCTATTCGGTTAATATTTGTGGGAGATTATGCAAGATTTCTTACTGATATAGGAAAGGTTTCTTGTTAGGCATGGTGGGGCTGTGTTGTTCGTCGGCGGCGCCATTTCAGCTAGAGATACCGTGGTTGCTTCCGATAGGGCCTTTTGAGGCACTCTGACCCCCTTCCTACGTATGCATATGCTCGCTGTATTTTTATATTGTATGGACTTGGTTTTTGGACTGTGGTACGCACCCAACGCAATGGCGGCGTCCGCTCAGCACACCACGAATGTCCACGCATATCCGGCAATCACCGCCCATTTTGACGGCTAGCTTCTCAACATCGGGGTCGTCAAAGGATTATATATAGATACCCGTTTTTTACTGCTTGTTCTGAACTCCTGAATTGCAAGAGTGCCTTCTCGAAGAACGGAGTTGTTCGTCGGAAGGGTTACTGGGGAACACGGAGTTTTTTCACTAACATGCCAGTATAGGCATTATCGATAAATAATCCATTGCCTTCTTCATCATGGCATAGACAGACTTCATATAACTGGAAAGCGGCAGCAATGGCTTTCGCCTCGACACGTGGGATTTGTGCTTGTTCCCATCCTACGACTCTGTTATGTCGACAGGTTGGGCGTTGGCCATGTGCCTTGCAAATACAACCGCCTAAATGCATATGGCACGGCCATAACAATAGCCTGCAGCTGCAAGGCCACCGCCTTTTGCGTGTCCACCCACTGTTCCGCAGTTCGGGCAGAGGAAATGGGCCTCATGAGCACTTTCGTCCTTGTGCATCATATACCACCACAGCGGCACGTAATGCCAGCAGCAGCTCCAATCTTCGCAAAAGTGTTTCTGAGTCGTGGAAAGGTGTGCACAGTCTCTCGCGACTGCGGAGAAGTTTGACATTCCGGCTCCGCACTATGGACAAGGAAGATTGGACCCTGCTGTTGATTTCCCTTGGTTGGTGTGGCATCTTTGTAGGTGCTTACGCATTTAACGCTTGGTAGGTCATGAAGCACTGGGCTGCCGTACTGCCCTTGTTCGCAAAGGCCGTTTGTACCCCGTTTCCCGTGTTGTTTTATTACACCTACCCAGCTGCACGTACCACTATGCGCACTGGTGAAAATCCCAGTTGGCGCATAGAACATCGTCACCTGTAACACTCTTGCATCCCTCTTCTCAGGCGTTTGGCAACACGAGGCACCCGTCACCCATACCTGGCGGACGCAATGGCCCTCATAGAGGTTTGTCCTTCGGTCACTGATATCCAAACATTGAAGTTGCATCCGACAAGAATGCAACGACGTGCCTGCGATACATTTTCACCTAACTTTTGAGTGGGACCCTGTTTATGTGTTTTTGTGGATATGGACTTGTTTCTGCTTATTCCTTTGTGCTAGTGTGAGTAAATGTATGCATGTTTGTCTCAATACTGGCTGTATCCATCTGTCAGCCTACCTTGGCACTTGTTCACATACATACGCTATGGGTAGAAGCTCCTTGTTGGCATGTGATCATGCATATGGCAGGGCATATAATTTTGGCCGCACCAGCAAGTCGTCTGCGGCCAATTGGGCGGGGGGGTTATTGTCAACTGCAACAATGCTTGCTCAGAGGCATTAGATGAAACTGTAATCGCACAGTGTGCACTCCGAACATATTATGTGCGAAACGACCATAATGCTTATCATCTCGCTTATTTGGTATATGCGCAGTCAAACAAAAGCGTCATGGAGTCACTTGGCGCGCCACTGGAGATGAAGGCCGTGGAGGAACATAGCGAGTCATTTGCTCCATGGAAGAGGCTGGTGTTGCAACTGACAGGACCAAACGGGACCACAAAGGTAGGTAATTCAAATTCTTTTTCAGACTTTGGCTTTTAAGCCCCCTGTCGCCATATGTAAATATCATTACCTGCTCTTCGGCTTCGCTGCTGGAGAGTGTCACTGCATGTTTGCTATTTCGCTGCGGATAGATTCACCTAATCCGTCTTTACTTCGCTCTTTCACAGGCTTTTGTCTGTGCGCGTCGTGTGGGATACAGCGAGGAGGATCTTATAGAGCAAATCAGCGTAAGATTTTGCAGCGTAGCTACAAGTAGTTAAGGTATCAACATCTACATATTCAGTAACTTACTACACTCTTTGATTGTTGCAGATTATATATAAAGTGTCTGATTCTCAATCGTACGTGATATGTTTGGGGCTAATTAAGCTGTTTATGCGAAATCTCCATCACAGCGAGCAGTGTGCCGCCCTCGTTAACTTGGCACATGTTTCTAGTGTTTTCCTTGGAGGGGATCTAAGGCAGCCACCTAGCGAGTTGTCTGGTGACTGCAGTTGGTACCTGCACGGATAATGAGGCACGCATTAAGGCTTTTGGCAATTGCCTGTAGCGTGGTGCGGCGTAGGAGGAAGAGGAAGGGCCTATATGGAGTCGACCCTACCTTTTAAAGCAGTGGCTCCTCCAGGGCATCAGCGACTTGTGGAATGTCTCTCGGCAACTTTTTTCCGGGAGGAAAAGCTGTAGCGATGGCTCCAGTGGAGTTGGAAAGTGGGAAATAATATCTCTGTTTGTGCTTACCCCCGAAAGTCTAGCTCCCGGGGCGGCTGAAGACCAAGGTGCACCTTCCGTGATCTTGTTGAAGGGCCGATCTACAGATAATCCTGACTGGTGTAAGAACGCATGGTGCCAATCTAGAGCGCAGCATTTGTATTTTTGTAGTCAGCCCCTTGATGGCCGGACATCCCACCTCGTCGTGCCACGCCACTGTCGAAAGCAGCTCCGCCTCGTACTACGTACAAAGGCGCTGTCGCTCCTTCAAAAAATCGAACACATAAATTAAGCCGCATTACTGTGTGCGCCTTTCAGATAGCTTAATTTCGCCGAAGCTCTCCATGGAAAAGCTCTTCTCTCACTGGATCGCTAACGCGTGTTTATTGCTAGTTTGCCTGTATTCGATACGCCGAGTCCGCGCAGAATGGAAGATGGCGGCAGAACGCGTCAGTCCTCTGCTGCCAAAATGTCTAGCTGTCGTGACATCCCTAATATGCCTAGTATATTGCAACAATCAGAACGTCGGTACCAATTAGGGTGATGCACTAAGAGTGCCCGCCCACGAGCTCGGCTCCCAATCACTACGAGCCGTATTATGTCTGTGCACGGTTATCCTCCTGCCAGCTTTTTCTCTTGTGCACAGCTGTCATCCCTTCGTTTTGTCAACCACTTCATTACGGTAAGTTCTAGGTGTTCTGCCGTGCGCTTATGGGGCTTGGAGCTGTGCGGGCACGAGCAAGAAGCCACGTGCAGCCAGGCACATTGAGATCCCATACATATCTGTCAACTCCCTCGATGTGCTCGCCCCCACTTTACCGGCGGGATGTACGACATCTCTAGACTCATGATAAAGTTCTATACCACACGTCACAATCATCGATACACACGTATTTATGCATTCGGTGAGTTAGTTTCCCTGGAAGGTGTGAGCTGGCATGCAGCACCACCGCCACCTGCAGCAACTCGCCGCTCGCCAGTTACAAGATGCCATCGTGAAAAGAAGCCCTTCAAGAAGTGTCCCGAATGACGGCAAACACAGCACGGCGGTACCAGTCCGCCTGCGGTATTTCACTGGGCAACTCTCTCAAGAAGCAATTGACGGGGTGGCCCATCTTGAAATCTATTCTGGAGACGATGCAGGGGATGATCCAGACTTCACCGACAAGCTTCAATGCGAGTTGGTATGCAGACTAATCAATAAAATAAAGTGGCAATGCATCATTCTGGCAGCAGCCAAGAAATTTTCTAGGATATTTCAATTTCCGGATATTAAGACGCCTTTCTGTGACTGCGTGGTGGGAGGTGCAGCGTTTGCAGGCCTCACGCCCCTCAGCTTCAGTCCCCTACGTTGCATTCCAGTGAGAAATCCAGTAGCAGCTGCTCTAAACTCCTCACAGGTATCACTTCATCCACAAGAAAGCGCACAACAGGAACCACGGCGCAAGCTCGGCTGTTGTGTGCCCACCCACGGCTTCTGCAGGAGCACTTTGTCCCTGATCCAGGAGCCTCGTGACCACACAGATCCGCCGTTCCCCGTCGTGCATACCTACGCCTTGGACCCCAGGGCGCTTACCAGAGCTCCGGAGCCATAGCTTATGACCAGCCAACTACCTGGCAGCTCGTGGTTTACAAATCCATTGCCTACCAGACCTCTTGACCACGTGGCGATGGTGTATGGCTCTGCCACAAAGCTGCTGGCAAGCTCGATCACGAAGCGAGTACAACATGTGTAAGGCGTTGCTTGCGTTGGGAAATGGTCCGAACGCGCCTTCTTTTATTTTCTAGAGGCTTCAGCGCTGATAAAACCAGCATGCGGTAAGTTAGCTGACGCAAGAGCTCACACGTCAACCCGAAGTTTATCCGCGATGTCGATATGCGAGACCATCTGAGATGCAGCTCGCACAGCAAAAGACGAATCTCTTCGTTGGCACAATTTTAATTTCAAACTCATGTTTATATTGCTTTCGATTGAATGTGTATACACCTTACCTCTCGGAACTCCTCAAAGGATATCATCCCATCACCATCCTTATCCGCCTGGAGGATCGTTCGGTCCACCAGCTGTTGCAGCTGCGCCAGGCACATGCCAGATTAAGCAAGTGCTCATTCTACGTAGACGCCATCAAGGAGAACGGACTGTTAAGATAATGAATGCAATTACTGATATCTGCATTTTTCGTGAACTCTAAGTGAATCACGAACTGCGAGCGCAGCTCAGTTCTTATGAGATGACAAATCGCGGGTATTTCAAGTCATCCGGAAGGCCTAAACATGCTTATGTCGAATGGCAAACACTTCACAGAAAACTAGGAAGGCCGTGCTCTGTGGCTATCTGGCACACACACCTGCTGGTCATTCAAGTTGTTTCCCACCATCATTTTCATCACCGCAAAAAGTTCCCCGTTGCTTATGTGGCCGTCCTTGTTAATGTCGTATACGTCGAACGCGAATTTCGTCTTCTGGAGTTCATCAGTTCCGGCTGCCAGCTTCGAAAGGCCAACAAGGAACTCGATGAATGAAACGCGCCCGTCGCCATTTGTGTCAAATATAGAGAGCACCCTTTTCACCAAAGGGTTCTGAGTGAACAATGGCGCAATTCGAACAAAACAGCTTGTGTCGCGAGTCATTTGTCATCACACAGGTGTAGCTCAGCTGAAAGCAATTAGATCGGCAGCCACGGGCTGCCAAGACACCAGAACGGGCATCGAAATGAGAATACATGGGGCGCAATTAGAATTTCACGAAAACTGACATCAGCGATCTCAGGTACTTCGAAGAGCTCATGAGGATCAAGCTCTCCATTCTGGTTGGTGTCCAAGGCACGGAAGCGCTTGTATAGTTTCTTAATGTCCCGCTCGCTAAAGTTGGCAGCCTGTACGAGATCTGTTTGTTCCTGAGGGGTCAGCTGGCCCTGGGCGTTGCTGCACAATAAAACATTGTTAGACCTGAAGAACACGGCTCTCAGCGGTGCCTTACATGCTGGACGCTTATGACTCGGTGCAAACCGTCAGAGGAACAATGCTATTGGATACTGCCACGAAAGTGCACCTTGAAAAGCCGAACAAAAAAGACTCCAACACAAGGTTGCAAAGTACTCGGAAATAAATGACTTACCCCATCGTGGCGCGCTAAATGGAGAGACCGAGTTCACGGAGGGAGACGTCGGGGCAGAACCCCTCGCCGGCGTCCGCAGTGGCTACTTGTTTTGCTCTTCTGCTTTCCTACTTCCAACCTTTCCTAATGTTCCCGATATGTACACAGGATTGTAAAAGGGAAGACGCCTATATTTGTCAACTTCGAATTGATAAGGGCTTCACGATCCAAATGTCCTTGCCAGGGGCAGCGAACATGAATACACTCGGATCTTCTGTATGCTGCGCAATATGTTGCCACTATGTTTACAACAATTACGTCCCAAAGCATTAACCTCAAAGAGCTGCGCAATGACCGCCCCTTTTAGGATACGCCGCAGCGGGGCAAGTGCATGCAAACAGGACTTGCGAACCTGGTGTGGATCACGAAGGTGTAAAGAAATATTTATCGCACAGGCGTGATCGCACGGCTATGAGTTTCCACAGATGCCCTATGTTATGACGCCACTTCAGGCAGCAGCTGGATATGAGGATCTCGCTTGCAATGTACCACCGCATGCACAAAGAGAAAGAGTCCACAGTTTCAGGGGTCTTCCACCATTCACACCTCCCTCGCTTACATCGAGTCGTCAAAAATCTGCTGGTGAGTTTGGTTTTGACGGAAATACGGCGCAAGCAGCCACCTCTCCTGATCTTTGCGACTAGCCTCTATGCGCCGCACAGGACGCGCTGATCAGTTCGGGTGGCACGAGGGTTGCCGGCGAGACACATAAAGCGAGATGATACGTGCAAGAGACGTATAACTCAATTTTTTGTACGAAATTTTGCTTGTGCAAAAATCCAAGCCAACGGGAAGCAGTACCAGCTTGCACGGTCGGGGCAGGGGGCTGGTGTCTATGGAGCCAGCGCTGACAACAGGGTATTCATTTTGCATTATTCCCCGGTGTGGGACAATTTAAATGTAACCGAAGCCAATCTTTAACGATATCCATTCCTTCTTTTTAACGATAACTTGTCAAGTACGCGCTTTCCCATACGCCCTTCATGTGGTAATCTTCCAGTGGCCCATGGAAGCATCAAGTATACCGTTCCTCATGTAAAGCTTTTGGTTCGTTTGCATGAGGCCGACGCATAATTTCCTGTAATAGAGATCACTCTGCATCTGAATTTATATATCAGTGCGAATGTGTCGTGTTCCGTGGCACGGCATCACAGTGCCCTAGAAGCATCAGAAGTAACCCGCATTGACCCTTCACTAGCAACGACCACACGAGCTAATCTGCAAAGTCTCCGTACCTGACTCAGCTAAACGGCGCCTAGTGTAAGGCCTTGCTCACTTGGGTCCTTGGAGAATGGTTAAACACCAGAGGGACGTTACGTTAGCCGGCTAAACTATACCAACATGCATTTTACGTCACTAGTAATACTTGACTAACAGCTTGTAAGGAATTGACTGCTTCACTTGACTGCAAATAGATATGTGTTGAAAAGCAGCATAGACCCGGTACATTCAGACTGAACATTGTGCAGGATTGCTGAGGTACAAAATGCAACTAGCTGTACTTGCACAGAGTGCCTAAAGGGTGCACCTACGCGCACCCAAGGTGCCCCTCTCCCCACAAATGGACGCCACGAGAGACAAGGACAAGGAGGGAGGAAAATCTCTCCGTAAGAGTGTACCAATAACTTTCTATCAAATTTGTATTGAGTGGGGAGTTAAGCATCTCCTTACGGGGACGTTAGATGGAGAGTCACAGTCAGCAGCACCGCATGCTTCAACGCAGCGCTTCCGCGTTCCTTCATTGGCTATGGATAGTGATCTTTTTCCAATACTTGTCTGGCTTCGATCACGTCCCTTAGTAATCCCTTCATTGTATTTTTGTCGGCAACAGGCTGAAAAAGACCTTGGCGATGGCATTTGAGTGACACAACGCCTGCTGACGTGGAAGTGGCCAGCTGACATGCCGATTCGAACACACTACCCCCACAGCTAGTCGAAAGGCGTAGGGTTTCAGCCACTTGATTGCTCATGTGCGCGTCGATAAGGCCTTGCTGAATAAAGGTAAACCAATATAACGGCCGTAAGGATGGTCAGGTACTGAAGGGTTCATCAGCTGGCTGGCGACATACCTCGCTTTGTACCCTCACATGAAGAGAAATGAGTGCCTCTTTTCGCGTGTCGTGAGAAATCGCACTTCGCTGGTAGCTCTTGACATCAAGAGATTGTCTGCATGCAGGGATTACTACATCTAAAGGCCTCATACACGCCCTGATTTGTCGTTCCTCCCGTAATCAGCTTAACGCTGCTTCTGGAGAACTGAGAGCACAGGCACAGAAAAACATTTATCATATTAAGCGTGTATGTTGAGAAATTTCAAGCCTTGATTTACAAAAGCTACAAAATAAAAGAACAGCTGCTTTATCAGAGGTCATATCAGATCTATCCAAAAGTATCATGGCGACTAGTCGCAGGAGGGGCAGCAACCTAGCGATAAATGACACACTGGGGGATTCCACAGTTGATGGACTTGAGGATTTAAGAGTAGATGGACGCCACCCTTGCGTCTTTGGCTGGAAAAAGAAACATAGTGGGATCTAGAATTTTTAGACGTCGCGGCTCTGTTAGCCAGTCCTAACTTATATTCCTAGGTGGAAGAAAAAAGAATGTCAGAATTCGACCCCAAAGCAGCCCCACCAAAAGGCACTTGCTGTTGTTGCGGGAATTCGGCTCATATAGACCGGTACTGCACGCGCATGGGGAAATCCAAAGAACTTGAACAATGGGATCTGGACTAGCGAAATCAAGCTGCTTGGCGAGCGACAGAGCATCGTGCAGCTGGAAAGCCCTCACGCAGATTGCGGCACATTAAAGGGATCTACAGAGGATAAAAAGCAGCCGCTAGCGAATTCCCACGGTTCAACTTTGTGCCGATACACTAATCGCAAGGAATTGCTAATTTTACTTGATACTCAATATGAATCAGATATGCTATCTGAGGAGACGCCACTGAAGTGCAATCTGCCGGCTCACTCCTTACCACAGTCCCTCAGCGCAGACCCTAAGAGCGAGGTCAGTTGACGGGGGCCAGAGACTAGTGATTGGCAATGCTACTGCAGCCAGCTGCCACTTCAAACCGAAATTGCGTCCCACCACCATGGTCCCTGACTTCAAATGTTGGACCGATAGTAGCGTGGGAGTGGCGAGTGCTACTCTTTCTTAACAGGCTACGGATTCTTCAAGCATAAAATTCTTGTTTGTTACTTTTATCACTTCACCGAAGCTAACCAGCTGTATCCATATCAGAAGAAACTCGATGTGGTGGGATATGGGGTGGAGAAGTGCTGCCCCTGTTCATGTGGGCTTCCATTTCTTTCACAGACTGACCATCAGTCTATATCGTACTTTACGCAGAACTTTCACATAATTATAAAGCTGTTCAGTGGCTTGCAAGCCTCCCTGCGGTACGACTTTACAATGAGGCTTGTCTAGGGCATCACCACCGGGGTGGCACACGCACTCTTGCGACGTCCTAGCAACTCGGTACTCTTCAGCACAATGGCCTTGTCTGTGATGATTCAGGGCTTCTAGGAAAAGCTCATGGGCCCCACGTTTAAATTGCCAGTTGCCCTGAACGGTGCTCTTCACCTCCCTGGGTATTGTTCCTCCCCCTGGCGCACTATTTTCTTAGAATGGCTGACTCAATCCATGGGCACTGTCTGACACGTTTCCTCTTATTACTTTAACGTATTCTCGTCACTCAACATTACGTGCAGGCACTCCCTGGCATCCGGTGTCTACATTCTTTCTCGTGCCTCCTCGGGGCTTCAACATGGACAGTGCGGCAGGTATTGCCTGCATTTGCACGAAGCTACTGCTATACGAGGCCCTGAGTCACAGCTGAGCTAGTTTGTACTTTGGATCCCTTCACACACTCTACTTGTGCCCGTCTTCTCGTAGCAGGAGGCTCTCACAATTCAGCTCTTCCACAGTACTTCGTCTACCTGCTTTCATATCTTATAATTGAAGAGTGGCGTTTCTTCGCTGGGAATCAATGGTGTGTGTGTGAGGTAGCTGCCCTGTGCAATAAACATCTAATACTACGTACGACTAGCTGTAAATACTCGGTGCTAAGAGGGTTCCGCAACGCACGCCCTTGCCGTCTCTTCCCCCACGTTGTCTGAACTCTGGAAAGCGAGGGCAGGGAGGGAGCTCCAGTTTGGGAAAACACCAATTGACCTTTTCCACTTTCGTATTTAGACTAGATTAATGTGTCACTATTGCGATCCCAGATGAACATTTAGACTAATCATAGTGATATGGAATAGTCGTACTCCATTTTGTGGACTTATTGTGTGTGCGTGTAGGCTAAGCAAGCGTGTGCAGCTGCAGCAACTACTCTGAGGATGGTACCATCCGCTCCTGAGCTAGTTGCAGCTGCCAAGCTCCATATAGGATATTCCGTCAACGATATTCATACTAAGATTTTTCTGAGCATTGACGCGTCGCCTTGGCTGTTCATGCATAATAATCGTTACACCGTAGGCTTTGTTAAATACTGTAAGAGTAAACGTCGTGAGCTTGTAGGCCCATATACAGTGGGTAACCACTTGCGAACGCTCGGAGTGCTGAGGGGGTGCTGCAACGTACAGCCCATACTCTGCTCTGAAGCAGGAATCCTGAGGAGTGTGGACTAGAAGGAGAGGGATTCCTTTTGAGCAGACATTCTACAGCTCCTTTTTGAGTAGTGAGTTGCCTTGTGCGACGACAGGCGCACGATAGATAGAAAAGGTTGTGGTTTATTGCGCAAGATTTAGAATTACCGTGGTCAGTCCTCGCGTCAAGAAAGTGTACATATGGAGCAAGTAGGCAACTGACTGGCGAGCATGAGGCTTCACATCGGGGCTAGACGTAGGATCATGAATTACCCTACTCCAAGCTCAGGCAAAGGTCCATAAAAGGCTTTGATTTCTGCATGTTTACAAAAAATGGAGCCCCTTTTGAAAGTCAGTTCCATATATCGGGCTCATGGCTTCGATAATGGAGTGCTAGAGATGGTCTACCAAGGCTTTTAAGTACACGACTGCTTTGCGATGCCCTTTCCCTAGTGCAACTTATAACGCTCTGCTTTTGGCTTTCACCAAAGCCTTCTTCACCCGCTTACTACACAGTGGGGGGGACTGTATTACTCCCGCCAAAGCTGTGGGCTCAGATTCAGCTTCTCAAATGCCAAACCACCCCTTGGATCCAGAGCTGATGAGGCTTAGCAGCCACCGGCAGACCGAGATGTGGAAGCAAGTCCAACGGATCTTTACGACTCTCATATTTTAAAGAGCTTTGCTAATGGGTTGTGGGAAGGAGATTTGTCTATGGTCTAAAAGAAGTTCGCGTTTGAAAGTACCTGTGGAGAACTGCCTCCACATTCCATTACACGTGTTAAGGAACAACCCTCCACAAGCACTTTTATATCAATTTCCGCAGATAATGACTATTCAGCCGCTAATTGTCACTTTAATGTAAAATAGAATTGGCTCCTAAGGCCTGTCTGGCGGAGCTGAGTGGGTGGTGCTGCGCTGCAACGACGATTACGCCACGGCAGCGTGGGGGGTCAGCTGCTGAGGCAAGCCACAAAGCCAGTCCCTTGCAGCCTGTGTGTAGAGGGGCCTGCGCCTCCGTGTCGATAGGATAGAATTTATCGCTTGAAGTGATAAAGGAGCAATAAGACGCTAGGGGCCCTGCCTCACATCAAGCGGCAGTCGCACCCTCACCCCCCACGTGAACTCTAGTCCGCCTGTGGCCTGCCACTGGAGCAGCCACGCTTGGCGCGTCCGTCCACGGAGGCGAGGCCGCTCCTTTTCATTTCAGAAGCTAGAACTTGTCAGATTATTCACAGACTGAACACATTTGACCCGTGTAAGGAACAACGGGGGAGCACTGTTCGAGTTGTGGCCGCGCGCCCGTTTGTGTACTCAGTGCAGTGCCTTTTTTCAATCCGGCTTGCACGCAAATATTTTTGATTGCCTCGCCATTTGGTTTTTTTCCTCCATCTACAGGGTGTTTATATTCTCCGGAAACACCCCTGCTGCTCAGTTCGTCTGCTCCCATGCCCTGGGGCTGCTGCAGTCGTGCCGTGTCCACAGAGTACACGCTGCCTTGGCATCTTCTTTTCCCGCCATAAGCAGTCAGCATCTTGTGGACGCCGTGTCTACTTCTTCTGTAGGTAGCGTAGCCAAGTTGCAGAACGTCAATTTCGCCGCCAGTAGGCAATGGCGCTGCAACAACAAGGGGCCCAACAACAGCCGCTATTGACGATGGGTCAGCAGCAACAGCAGGGGCAGCAACCGGGAGGATCTCCAGCAGGTGCCCCTCAGGCGACCGGCACCCAGCAGCAGCGGCTGCAGTTTCCTCAGAACCAGCTGCCTGGCAATCTGCAGGTCCAGCAGCAACTCCTACGAATGCAGCAACAGCAGCAGGGGATTGCGGCAAAGCTGCAGGGGGGAGCTGGAGCTTCTGGCGTTCAGCAGCGACTGTTGCATCTGGAGCAGCAAGAGCAGTTCTTGCAGCAGCAGCAAGAGCCTGAAAAGGTTCACTGGGTTCAGGTGAGCCGTCGTTGCCGTTCTGTTTTGCACAGCGGTGTCACCCCTCTTGAGGCCCCTCTCTGCACCCGCATGATACCTTTTGCGCTGTATTGCACCTGTGCTGCTGCCAGTGGTCGGTGCCGCTTCTTTGCAAGCCAAATTCACGAGCATATTTTGCTTCTTTCTTGTTCCTGCATCGATGCAGTGCGACCGTTGCGATAAGTGGCGTGTTGCCCCTTACGAGATTACGCTGCCGAGTTGGGTGTGCGAGCAAAACACGTGGGATCGACGCTACGCCTCCTGCAGCGTTCCTGAGCAGCCCGACCCGGCTGCTCAGCTGCAGCAACAGCAACAGACGAGGCATCAGCAGCAATACCTGCAGCAGCAACAGCTGCAACAGCAGCAGCTGCAGCAGCAGCAGCAGCAGCAGAGGCTTGCAGCAGGCGGAGGAGGCGCAGCTCCCAAGCCCAAAGCGAAGGCAAAAGCCAAGTCGAGGGCTCCTGCCAAAGGGTCGTCGGCGGCAGTTCAACGCGCTCCTCCTCTGCCAAGTGGGAATGGCACTCCTGATGCGGTAAGTTGTGTGGCAGAGAGAAGCAGAAGCCTCGTTTTCAATGGCGATTTCAGTGTAGCCTGCCAGCTTGGCGTAAGCCACCGCATGCAGAATGGAGGTGAGGGCTGCGGGTGCCGTCGCAGGGTTCCACAGCGGCAGCAGCAGCAGCCAAAGTCGCGCTGGCTCCTGGCCTTTTAGATCCTGTCTCTGCTGCTGCTTCTGCTGCTGCGCATGTGCAGCAGAATCTCTTGCAGCAGCAGTTAACCCAACAGCAGCGCGGGGGTGGGGGCACGGGCAATGCTGCCAACCTTCCCGCGATCCAGCAGCAGCTGCTGCAGCAGCAGCTGCAGCAGCAAATGCAGCAAGCCCAACAGCACCAGCTTTTGCAGCAGCTCCAGCAGCAACAGCACCAGCTCTTGCAGCAGCTGCAGCAGCAACCGGCCGTTGTTCTCGACAACTGGGTGCAGTGCGACGCGTGCAACAAGTGGAGGAGAGCACCCAATCCGATCACCAGCGAAAAATGGTTCTGCCGCATGAACACGTGGGCCCCTCAGTTTGCGTCTTGCGAAGCGCCTGAGGAGCCAGATCCCGCTCAGCAGGAGCAGCAGCAGCAGCAGCAAAGCCAGCAGCGGCTTCTGGAGGCAGCAGTGGCACTGCAGAGGCAGCAGCAGCTGCAGCAGAGTGTGGCGAAGCGCCAGCGTACTTCCAGTGCTTCGACGAGAGTCACGGAGGCAGCGAAGACGGCGGATCCTAAAGTTGCTCCTCCCACGCAGCTCCTGAGACAGCAGCAGTTGGTTGCCGCTGCAGCGGCATCTGGTCAGCGCAACACCCCACCCTCTCCGCAGCTGCAGCTGCAGCAGCAAGTGCAGCCAGTCAAGCTGCCTCAAGCGCAACAGCAGCAGCAACAGCAGCAACAGCAACAGCAACAACAGCAACAGCAGCAGCAACATGCTGGCGCCGTTACCAACGCCGCAGGAGGAGGGGGGGGCGGCCAGCTGCAGCAGTTGCAGCTGCTGCAGCAGCAGCAGCTGCAACTGCTGCAACAGCAACAGGTGCGACTGCTGGACGTCGCGCGTCGAGCTGCTCCTCCTAACAATGCGGGGACTGGCGGGGGGGTAGGGGCCTCTCCGGGGAGCGCAGCAGCTGCTGCAGGAGGTTCTGAGCGACCAGAGGGGGGTTCAGATGCAGTTGGCGCCTCAACGGAGAAAGGGGATAAGTGGCTGGAGTGCCGTTCCTGCAAGAAGTGGCGGCGTTTGCCTTCCGAGGTGGATGCGGAGGCTTTAAGGCCTAAATTCTTCTGTTATTTGAATATGTGGGATCCCCAGCGCAACAGCTGTGCTTCTCCGCAGGAGCCGTGGCAGCAGCTGCAGCAGCAGCAGGAGATGCAGGGGAAGGCGCCTCCGACAGGTAACGCTACGTCTGCCTCCACGTTGCAGAAGGCGCAGCACCAGGCGGCGACGTCAGATGCGAGCAGACAGGAGAAGCCGGGCATTGCAGCAGCTGTGCCTGCGCAGCAGCAGCTGCAAAGGCCGGGGGGGCAGCTGCAGGGAGAGACGGGTGTGGCTGCTTCTCTTCACCAGCAGCTCCAGGAGCAGCAGTTGCTGCTCCTGCGCATGCAGCAGCAGCAGCAGCAGGAGCAGCAGCGCGCTGCCGCAGCGTCTTCCGCGATCGCCGCAAGTGGCGGTAGTGCCAAGCACGGACCGGGGGCTGGGGGAGCTGCGGGAGGGGCAGAAGACGACGACGAAGAAGAAGAGGATGACATCGAGGGGGAGGGAGACGAGGACGAAGACAGCGAAGACATGGGCGATTCTTCAGACTCCGAATCAGACCGCGGGGGGGGTGGAGGAGGAGCACCCCCAGGGGGGGGAGCCAGTGCTGGCGGCTCCTCTCGCGATGCTTCTTCTAGCGGCGCTGGAAGGAGTGGCGGGAGCGCGGGAGGCAGCACTTCCCAGCCTCCTTCTCAAGGGCATCCAGGTACAGGGAGCTTCGCTCCCTCGACTGCGGCAGACGGTGGAGCGGTAGCAGCGGCAGCGCTTCGACTTGAGCGGACCGCTGAGAAAAGTCACGCCAGCTGCCGTAGAAAAGGCCAGCAGTCCTCGCGTTTCTTCGATGTGCTGATTGTTGGCGGGGGAGTGGCGGGATTGGCGGGTGCTCTGCATTGCCAGAGGGCGGGTGTCGACTACCAGGTGATCGAAGCGCGAGACCGCCTGGGGGGTCGCGTTTGGTCCATTAGGCTGCCTGCGTCTGCGGAGGAGAGGAGGAGGCGTTCGCTGGGCTCGAAAGAGAAGGCGCCGTACTGCAAGGAAGAGAAGGAACGGAAATCCGGCTCGAACAGCGTGTGGATTGACGTAGGGGCGAACTACATGCATGGCCTGACAGGAAACGAGAACGATGTGCGACTGAAACCCCGCAGAAGAGGTTGCAGTGTGTATCACCTGGCGGCTGCTTCCCGCGCCTGCCGTGTGGCTCTAGTGCCTGGAGAGACTGGCTGGGAGAATCCGTACTACTTTGATTGGCTGCGGAGAGGACGGCGCTTCTGCCTGTTGGTGGTCTCCCTCGCCCACGCGCTTTTCACCCGCTTGGCCACGCCTGTCTCTCTGACCGCGGGGGCTCAGCCAAGAGGCTCCACTGCATCGATTCTGACGCTTTTGAACAAGGAAGTGGATGCGCTTCTCGAGTCCGAAGCAGCTCTAAGCCTCCAGGAGGGAGAGACGGCGGCTGAGCGCATGCCGCCCAATGCGCTGCCCGCATGCGAGCGACACAGCAGACAGCCGGGGAGCGATCTTGGGCAGCTCCCTCGGCACAGCACCTTCGAATCCCTGGCCATGCCTTCCGCGCTTCGGGGACTTGTGGCGACGTTGTTGCGCCGTCTGAAGGATCTGTGCTGCTCTTCTGCAGCGCTAGGAGGCACGAAGAGCAGCAAGAATCCCGAGATTGCGATTGGCGAGTGCTGCGCCTGCCAAGTGGAAGGCATGGTGGTTCGGATGCTGCGTAGCCGCTTTGGTTTCTTCGCGCCGCTTGGGGACGTCAGCGCCGCCCCCTTTGCGGTGTATGGCACTCCTGCCTTGAAGCGTGATGTTCAGAGATTGCACAACCCGAAGACACGGCTTCTGGCATGTAAGAGATGGTGCCTCTGCAGTCCCCGGCTGGTGTCGTTTCTCGACGCACACATGCTCCCGTTCCGTATATTTAGCCGCCTCGCTGACTCCCGTGTGCGCGCTGTGGGTTCCTCACGCCCGCACTGCAGGGCCTGGCTTGCGGCGCTACGCCGAGAACCTTTCGCTGGCCTTCGCTGAGAGAGATCGAAAGAAGTCTCAAGTTGTCAGGCAATTTGCAGCTATCCCTCCCTCCGTGTCTTCAGACCTGTATGTTTGAGGCAGAAAATGCTGAGGCTTTCCCTTTATTTCTGTAGGGTCTTTTAAGCTATTAGAACACTCGGGCCCGACAATACCTGTAGCCTGGTTAAACCTTTGTGTCCTCCCTCTTCAGGGATACGCGTCGTGCCTGCTCTGTTGCGTGCAGCATCTGCATGAGCTGGCGATGGCTGGTCGAGATGCTTCGCGAAGAATTGTCTCCCGACAGACTCCGTCTGAACACGCGTGTTTCTTTCGTCTCAGTTTCCTTTGAAGAAAAAGATTCGGCATTCCCATGTCTTGTGCGGTGCCACACCGATGATAATGGGAAAGAGGCGCAAGAGTGAGTTCTCGGCGCGCAAGCCTCCCTAGGCAGCGCATTGCTACGGTCCACGCCCTCCTTCGTGAGGTATTGCCTTGTTGGTTAGCAGGAGAGCTGACTAGAAACACGCATTTCAAAGTGCTGGTCGTCACTTTTTTGAGGGGGTACCACAAGGGCAGAGAGAGAGAGAAATGGGGTGTAATTCTGCAGTTCGCTGCCGTGCATAACTTCAGGCTACGATCCCGCTTTGTTTTGGTGGCACTCCCCGTGTCGCTCCTGCAACAGCCACCTGAGGGAGCTGAGGAGACGGCGGCTCACGTGACGTTTGAGCCGCCCCTTGCAGCTGAAAAGGTGGCCGCTCTTGCGTCTATAGGCATGGGAGTACACAACAAAGTGGGTGCTCCCCGAGACCGTCGCGCGCTGTGTGCTTAAGCTTTGTTAACATTTGTAATCTTCGAGATTTTCTGCGAACGGAGGCAGGCAGGCACGGACATCGTTTAGGGCTTTGCGCGCGCGTCACACGTGCAGTGGTCGTGCAAGGCGTGGGGAAAATCAGCCTCTTGTTGTCAAGTGGATAGGGTGGCTTGTCTAGTTTCCAGCAGGCACGTGTCGTGTGGCCTGGCGCTGCATGTTTTTGTTGGAATGAGACGACGTCAGCAGGGAGAAAAAGTGCTGGCTGCTTTGGCCTGGGGGCGGCTGTTCTTGCAGGTGGTGTTGCGGGTTGCGCCGTCGGATGTCTTTTGGTCGCAAGGGACGCCAACCTTTTCATCACCTTATTCGCGTTTCCAGTACTTGAACCTGCACGCTTACGGCAAGACAGGGTGCATTCTCGCACACCTGTTTCCTCCTGTTTCTCTTGCGATTGATTCGCTTACTGACGAAGAGGTCGGTCTCTGCAGGGATGTCTTTTAACACTGCGAAGGTTGCCGACTATGCTATCCTATGCGTGATCACAACGATTGCATGCGCTTGCGGGGGGCTCAAGCAGCGTTGTGTCAGCCGGCTATCCCAACGTGCAGAAGCCACTGTGCGCACTGTGCAGTGCAGTGCTGTGCGAGATAGAAACACTTCCCTTCCTGAGGCTGCTTCTCCGCTGTGGTTGGTCTTGTCGCCGAGAGATATCCTGCCTGGGTGCAACTTGGTGAGGGACGCAACGTGAATCCCGGATGTGTGTTCAGGTAGCTCAAGAGGTGCTGGATGACCTGTGCAAGCTGTTCGGCTATGACCAGCGACCGTCTCTCATCGCCTCAGTCGTCACTCGGTGGCATTCCGATAAATACTCGAAGGGATCGTATTCGTATCCCGTAGGGCACTGTGGCCTGCAGATGCTGGTGTCTTCCAGAGCTGGTCGGAAAAGGGTTTTTTTCACCTTGAACCTCTTCGGATGCAGAGAATCCAGATTCATTCTTTGTCGGATTGTGTGCTGTCTGTCGGATTGTGTGGCTCTGTGGGTGTGCAGAAGCCTGAGGCTGATATGGCAACGCACTGGCGTTGGTTGAGGGCCCCCCATCCGTTAGAGGCCCCCCGTGTTGCTTTCGCTGGGGAATTCTGTTCAGACTCCTATAATCAATGCGTCGATGGAGCGTGCGCCATTCTGCACTCGCTCACATTGCAGCTGCCTTCATCGTCTATTCATCGCTGTTTGAACTGAATCCTGCATTCACATAAGCACTCATACATACGTGTATAGCACTCGGTCCACTTGGCCAGAGTGTGCCAGCCTCGTACAGGAAAAGCACACATTTCTCAGGAACATTTTTTGCATCCTCTGATGCGGTTTGCTGCCTTTTTGTTTTCCTGCAGGTTTGATACTGGCATGCGTGCGGCGCAGTCCGTTGTGCAGTTTGGCCTGCGTCGTCACCCCTGCACAAAGGCTCATCAGGAGCTTAAGCAACAGCCCGTGAAGCGAGACGCGTGTGCTCTTGAGCGAGAACGGCTGCAGCAGCAACACCGAAACCGCCGGCAGCGCCGTGCGGCAAAGGATTTAAAAGATACGGAAAACAAGCCGCAGCGTCATACGAGGAAATCAAAGAAGGAAGCTCTTGATGCTGTAGGGGTGAGGGAGAGGATCGCCGCTGCTCGTGAAGAGCTTGAGGGAGTGAAGACAACATATTGCGGCGAGGGCTGTTGCCGTGTGGTGGACTGCCTGGACGGGTAAGACTCGTTTATCGGTGGACCTTCCACTTCCTTGTGAATTAGTGTCTACCGGGAGTCCCCGTCCGCACCGTTTTGATGTATCGTCCATCATGCAGGCGCGTCGGCCTCATTTTGAGTTGTGCTTTGCTGCTTGCTTTCTGCAGCTCGCATGCCGGGTATTACCTCACAGACGGAAGCGACTTGACAGACTGGGATGAAGGTGTAAATGAGGAGACGAAACAGGAACACGATAAGGTGGTTAGCAAAAACACACGGAAGATGCTTGAGAAGTTCCAGGCCCTTCTACGGTTTAATCATAAGCAGTTGAACTGCTCACAGTCAAGGTGTTCTCCTAGGGAATCTGGCACGGCGGGGTTTGCACAGCCTGCTCGGGCTAGAGCGTGAAGTAGGGCATATACATGCACCATAAAAGAGGAGGGTTCTAGCCTATATAGCGGCAGACAAGGATTAGACGGGGTTAAATTTATTTTCGTGAACGCTCTCCCCAGGCGAGTTGGTAGGGCAATCAGTGGGGGCAGCGCCGCAGACTCAGATGGCTCTAAGCGACCAAGGGAGTCGATGGTCGAGCATGCGCTGCAACATAGGGTGCTTTCACCTTGCATTGCACATTGATAGAAGACCAAGGGAAAGGCGCAGAGCGTGTTGCCCTTTGTAGGCGCTTCAAAGGGCATATTCCTTTCACGAGGGCACAAACTGCCCAAGTTGTGAATGTTTGTAGGGATTACTCTCAACTCGGTAATCCCGATAGGGAAAATACTGAACGAACTATGCCTTACACAAAATGGGGAGTGGCGGATGCGCTCTTTGGGCTGCATGCGGGTGGGTCATTACGGACCATTAAGCGCTTGTGAAGAGCAATGCCACCCTGCTGAATGCATGATCCCTTTGCGTATGAGCAACTCCTTTGGTTTATGCTGGGATGATGAGAAACGGGAATTTATATGCATACTGTGCATATAATGTGCACTTGGGGCGAGAAGGTTGCTCATGTACCCCTTCAGATGAAGCGAGCAGGGCAGGGCGAGGCACGGTGTATTTCATTTCCCGGTGCAGTGCCACCCCTTGTCACAGCTAGCCGCATGCTTCTGAGCCATCTAGCACCCATTGTCTTATATCAGAAACTTAAAAGTAAACGCGGGCGATCCCAAGAGGAAGTATGAGCGCCGAGAGCGGGGAAAAGATGCTAATGCCACTCCAGGCGAGACGGTTCGTACGGGAATAGGTTAGCCGTCGTTGAGAAATGATATCATTTAGCAGGGCGGAAGAGTGATAAGCTTTCGGCAGAGGCCGGAAAGATGTTCAAGTGTAACGGATGGAACTTTGATTAACTAGACGTAGTCCAGTAGTGGTTGGGTACATTTGCTTACCTAATCTTCCAGAGTATGCAAACTTCTTTGGCTGAGTAGTTCAGGTAGGTAGTTGACACAACGCAACCAGAGGCTTGTGTGGACGGGTAGCATAAGGAGCTGCACCATAGATATCCTTGGGTATGTGCCATCTAGGGGATTGTGTATTCCCTGTGTACGGAGGTATGCTGCTTGGAGCCCCCAATTTCTTCTCATGCAACTGCGGTACTTTCACCGGCATATTTCACGCTTGACACTGTTTTGTTCACCGCCATGTGGACTGCCTTTACAAGAAAATCTGCTATTTTCTTTATGGCTTCATAGTCAGGGTGCTGCATTTTGCGCTGTACTAACTTTGAGGTGCTGGCTAGAAAAAATGTTATTTGACTGAGGAAACTGGGGCGATCCTAGTAAATGGGTTGCACGCCCTATGGAAATGCCTAACCGACGCCTGCGATACCCACCGAGTCTTCTCGACTGCCCTGTCCTACTAGTGTGCACTGGTATATGATGGTTATTCATGGATTGTACTCGTTGTTTGGGGTGCGTAGCTCTTGACTCTAGGTTCATGCCACATGGATATGCTGCTGATGAGCTGCTTTCGTTAATCTAGCTACGCCCGCCTCAACGTTATCCGGTGCAGGCAGAGTTACCCCTGAATACTTCGTACTACAGCACTAGTTCTATTGACTCGGATTTCGTCAAGGAGTGACTAATTGGTGTGGCCATGCAAGGTACCTTTGGCTCAGTACAGGAAGACGCAATATTATGTGACTGTGAGCTAGATGCTATATGCAACTAATTGTGGATGTTTGGAATACTGGGAGGGAGCAATCACGCGCACGCTGGCTAGCCCTTCCCGAAATGTCAGGAAAGCTGAGAGGCGCGGGCAGTCAAACGAGGGGACACTTTTCATATTTCCTAATAAACATTCTTTGAAATTTTATCGAGTGTGGGGTACAGCGCCTCGCTGCGAACACCTTAGATGGAGCCTTGGTTTTTTGGGGATTTGTAGGAAGGCATTACAGCTGGCAAGCACGCATAGTGGGGCATGCGTCTGTACCCACAGTACTTCCCGTAATGGATACGTATTAGGTCAAAATGTACAATGGCTTCAGTCCCTGAGTACCTGCTTTGTGTTCAACAGACAAGGGGAGGACACATACGAATGCGCTCGAGTCCAAGAAAGATGATGGCAAGTACTCCAGCTTTGTAAGCATACAATTTTTAGCTCTTTGCACCTCGCGGATGTGCTTTTTTGTTGTAGAGCCCGTTACGATAGCCCCAACGACGCTAATAGTATTGCTGACTGCGGATCACTTTTGTATGGGGCTGTGGTCTGCCCAAGTGTCGGCGGCGCCGTAAGCAGATAACACTCGCGGAAGCTGTCGGTGACTTTCTCCTCTTCATGTTAGATAATTGACAATTTATGAGAAATAGACCTATAGACTGGTTATCTTCTATTTCTCCTGGACGCAACGACTGTTGACTCAATATTGGTCTGCTCTGCATGCGTGGCACTGCGACTGCAGCAGGCCTCAGCAGCTTCCAGGCATTAGAAGAAAGGTGCTCGACGAGATACTCACGTTTAGGGCTCACTGGGTGCCTCCGGCATTTTGTTTGCAAGGGAGTAGCTCTTTCTTGAGCGGCTAGCCTGCGCGCATCACTCTCTTGTCTCACGAGTCCGGGTGGCTCACTACCGTTTACAGGGGTCCCCACGGGCCCTTATCATCAGCGTCTTACCGATGCACTGACGTGCGGTCTCAAAGTCCAGAGCACGAATGTGTTGCAGGCTGCGATTCTTGAGCAGCGTGAGCACGGAATCCTGCTGTTCGTATCGGTTGTAAGCGGGAGACAGTCCTGTAAGCTTTTTTGTATCCATCGATCCGTATTATCGCTGCATGGTGATGCAGCATGTCGAAAAGCCGGTGAGACGCATCGTCGGTCTGCCAAGTCTTCGAGATGGAGCAGCTAATCCCCATTATGAACCGTCTTCAAGACGCGCTTCTGACTCTAGGAAGTGGCGATGGCACTGTATTTGACCTACCGCAAATAGCTGTGGTAGGTGCTCAGTCCGTGGGAAAGACCTCCGTGCTAGAGGCGGTGATCGGTAAAGATTTTTTGCCAAGAGGCACTGGCATTGTCACAAGGCGGCCCCTAATCCTTCAGGTAACAGTCGACTTCCTTCATCTGGCAGGTGCTTGTCTATGTTGCAATGCCTGCGTAAATGCGTTATAGTGCTCCTTTTTTGGCCCGTAAACCCTCAATATCCGAACGGGGCGGGGGCAACCAAGGCACTCAGCGTGTGCCTGCTGTGCATTGCTCTATGCAGCTGCAACATACATCAGAAACTGCAGAATGGGGGGAATTCAGCCACTCTCCCGGGCACCGCTTCACCGATTTCGCTCAGATTAGGAGAGAAATCGAGAGAGAGACAGAACGCGTAACGGGCCGCTCCAAGAATATTTCCCCAGTTCCTATTTGCCTTAAGATCGTCTCCCCGAACGTTATCGACCTGACGCTCGTTGACTTGCCAGGCATCACCAAAGTACCAGTGGGGGACCAACCTTCAGATATAGAGGTGCTGCATCCTCCCGTAATTCTCTGGCGGCTGCCGATATCTGTACATTTCATCTCAAATCTTGCCGTCGCTGTCCTAAGTCGCCTAGATTCCGAATGCCCTTTTCGTACATGGAATTGTTAGACCCGCGCACGGCCCCTGCCCAGCACGGCGACCTCAATCGAGGGATCCCTTATTATCTATTCATGCAGTCTTGAGCCTTGTTTGCTTTCCTCATTCTGCAGCTGCAGATTCGCAAAATCGTCTTGCAGTATATTAGTCAGCCGTCATGCATCATTCTAGCCATCACGGCTGCCAATACTGACATTGCAAACTCTGACAGGTGAGCACATTCTTCCCATGACTCTTCTATTTTGAACCGTATTATATGAGTATCGTCATAATTTCCTCTCTTTTTTTGTTGCATCGACTATGCATTGATTGGGGATGTATCCAGGCACTGCATTTTGATGCACAAACACAGGAAACGCGTATGTGCCATGCTGTCGATTTCGGGGGTCTTGCAATGCACATCATTATTCACCGTCCCTTACAGCCCCATTCCTGAGCAAATGGTATGTCCTCTTGCTTTATCTGAAACCTTATTTGTGTCTGTGCCACATCTCTGGGTGTTTTTAGCCTAAAGATTGCCCGTGACGCAGATCCTGAAGGCATTCGAACCATCGGAGTGGTAACAAAAGTCGACACAATGGAGGAGGGTTCCGATTGCGTTGACGTACTCACAGGCAAAGTCTATCCACTGAGGCGCGGGTATGATTACAAAAATTCCCTTCGCAGGTTACAATTGAGGCTGCACGCTGGCGAGGTGACATGTGTGGCGTTTTACCATACGTCCAAATTACACTGGTTGAAACTGACTACAGTTCCCCGGCTGGCGCATGAAGCGTATACGGGCTTTTTGTTGTGTCTGTGTGACCCGTGTTGCTCTATGCGCTCAGGTTCGTGGGCGTAGTGTGTAGAAGTCTCGCTCAGACACGTGAACAACTTTCCCCGAAAGCCGCACAAGAAGAAGAGGCCAGATTTTTCGAGAAGCACCCTGCATACAGATGCTTGGGAAATCGTTGCGGCACTCGATATCTTGCGAAGATGCTAAACCAGGTACGCTGTCGAGCATGAATCCTGCGACATTCATACTCGCGCGTTTCCGCAGTTGGCTTGAGATGTTCATGTATATCTCTGCTTACCATGAGTATTATGCTCTCGAATGCCTTCACGGTGCATCCCTTGCCCTTACTTATCCCGCTCAATGTGTCTTTCGTACTGCAGGTACTAATGCAACACATCCGCAAGTCCTTGCCGGAGTTACGTGGGCGGCTCCAAAAGAGACTTCAAGAGCAAGAAGCGGAGCTGGCAGGTTACGGAGACCCACTGCTGGAAGCCAAGGGAAATGCGGGGGCCTTGCTCTTGCACTTCTTTTCCAAGTTTGCTCGCAATTTCCAAGTCCGCCTCTGAAGCAAAATAGCTTTTTCGCATTTTGACTAAGTATTGTCGAGGAATTACAGACACGCTTCAGTTCGTCTGTCTGCATCCTCTTTAGGCTTGTGGACGTGCCATTACTTCCCGTCTATGCACATGCAATTATTTGGCAGTACCCACCTTGGGGTGAACGTCTTCCTCAGGACGCGATTGACGGGAAACTGCAATCGCAGCACTCTTCGGATCATTTAATGGGGGGCGCGCGCATCAACTTCATATTTCACGATTGGTACGGGCGTGCTTTGGCGGAGTTCGACCCCCTCAACGGTCTCACAGACCGCGAAATTCGCACTGCCATCAGGTAAGGGCACTTTCTATCTTCCAGAGCAACGAATTTCGCCTTCGCATGATGCCAAGTTTCAGTTTTCGTTCCGCACTAGCTTCGAGACACCAACTGTATGTCCTGTTTGGGTCCGAAAGCAAAAGCCCCAGACAGTTTCGAGCTAAGGGTCTGCATCCCATCGTCGTGGAGCTTGTCCGTGCTGCCAACAATTACACTTGGCAGTGCTACGCGAATATGCACCCATTCTGTCCGATTTCCCGCTTGTGGCTACTAGGAACGCGACGGGGCCTAAAGCGGCATTATTTGTGCCTGAAGGCGCATTTGAAATCCTTGTGAAGAAGCAGATACAGCGGCTGGAGACCCCCTCCCTCCTTTGCGTTGAGCAGGTACGCAATTCCTTTGGGACTCTAGACTCTAGGGTCTAGGGGGTTTGCTATCTGGCTTGTAAAGGAGGCTCGCCATTCGATATGGGGTTTATGTGCTGTTGTACACTTTTTCAGGTTTACGATGAGCTGCAGAAGATCGTCGAAAAGTCTGAGCTTCCCGAGATGTCCCGTTTCACGAACTTACGAGACAGGATTCTGGAGGTTGTGTGTGGCGTTCTCAAGAGATGCCTTGCCCCCACGAATCAAATGATTCACAACATTATTCAGGTGAGTGCTTGCCCACACCCACTGCCCTCAGGCGTACCCAGGGTGCCGGGTTGGATAAAGACCTTGGGATGTGTTTGCCTTTTCGTGCAAGATTGAGTTGGCATACATCAACACCAGCCACCCAGACTTCCTGAACAACAAAGTCCTACCGGAACTCTTTGGACAGGGCAGCCCCGACAGGCGCGATTCGTGCTGTAAGAACACCAGAGAGCAACGCCGCATATTCGGACGCAGCCAATGTTCTGTGCCCAGACAAGCAGGCGATTAAGAAGGTCCTTATCGAATATTGTAGCCCATGCACCGATCGACAAAAGAAGCACAGATGCCGTCACATAATTTATATTCTACCTGTGGTATTGATATGTATACAGCTCCCAGCTTAGGCAACGCCATGCAGAATCAAATGCCACCGCCGCCTCAGCAAGGCGGAAAGCTTCCTGCGTCTCTGGATAAGGAGCCACCGCCCTCACCCAGAGGAGAGTTTGTGAGTACTGCTCCCGTCCTTGTTACCCTTTTATCATTAGCAGCTTTCGCAGAGTCTTCGCTGGTCGCTCTCTCGGGTACATCTGACAGGGTCGCGTCACATGTGCTGCTGCCGTTGTTTTGACGCTCGTAGGGTGTTGGAGGTGTACTGCAGCAAGGCGGATTTTTTAGCTTTTTAAAGAACTCCAGGCCGTCTCCTCACAGCAACAGGCAGAACTCTACCATTCCCACGCATTTAGCCGCCGTACAGCCGCCGCAGCTGGTGCAACAGCACATACAACAGCCACCTGTTCAACAAAGGTGTGATGCATCTGCCATTGCTGAGCGATATGCAACAGATAGTAAGTTGTATAGACAGAGTCTTTTGCTGCCATTCATTTTTATCTGTTGGTGATGTGCTGATCTTAGTTCAACTAGGTTGAGAGGGCGCACTATGAGAATGCTCCCCTCCAACTCCTCAGGGAACTCCAGGATCTGGATAATTAGGGTAAATTCGCTGGAAAGCATGTGCTTTCGTGCTGCATGCAGCTCGCCTGACCTCTTCATTTAACTTATACCGTGTAAGTCGTCTGGATAATGCCTCTTGCCGGGATATAACGCAAGGCGATGTTTCCCGCACAGCTGTTTTAGAATTTTCTTGGTTGATGCATCCTAGGGTCTGAAAAGACGTAGTGCATGGGAACCTGATGCTTTCCAAATCTTGTGTAGTTCACTTGCCGAGTACACCGCCTTTCATAGCTCCTAGCGGCCTTTGTTTGTTTGCTTATGCTGTCCGTTACAGGAGACGGGGGGCATTCTTCTGCCGGCCGTTCCACCGGTCGTTGCGCCATCAGACACCCCATCGGATCGGGAAGAGTTTGAGACGAATATTATCAAATCTCTGCTCTGGTCGTACTTCCAAATTGTTAGGTGAGTGCATCTGCAGTGTAGAGCATACACCTGTTGATTTAAGCAATGCCTTCAGTACGAACTTTTGAGAGATAGAAGGAACGGCTTTAGGAGTTGTAGGGAAGGTGGTACCTGTGTATTCTGCGAGTCGTTTACAGAAAAAACGTTGCGGATGCGGTGCCAAAGGCAATAATGTACTTTATGGTCAATACGGCGAAGGACGTGCTACAGAGAGAGCTAGTAGCTCAGCTGTATAGAGAAGGTGAGGCTTTAGGCTGCTGCGGTCAGTCCCGACCTCCTGAATTCCAGGTTTGAACAGTTCTCCGTTTAGAAACTGTCAACTCTAGTCTTGTCAAACTATCGTCATGATTTCCGAGCTACTGCGTGGATATGTGCAAACTTGCATCATGCCACAGTCTATATGTACTTGGCCTCAAGTGTCGCTAATCGATCCGCGTGCTGCGCTTTATACCTGTTCTGTTGCCCTTGTCTATGATGAACCAGAGCTGTTTGGGGAGCTGATGAAGGAGGCGGGAGATATTAGTGCAAAGCGACAGCAATGCAAGCAGCTCGTAAAGTGAGTAGGCCAGAAGGTAGCCTTGATTCTGTTTGTCCGCATCTGCCGTCGAAACTACTTTTTTCCTGGCTGCTTGCATGTCAATTGCTGTGAACGCTTCTCCACATTACGCTTTAGCTTCGTCTTTCTTTTGCAGCGTCTATAGTCCAATTGGGTGAAGGCAGCCTCAAAGTACCACGTTTAATGAACTGTTACGATATCTGCTCCACTTTTGGCCTATTCTTGCCAGCAAATCCTTTCTGTAAGGTGGTCCTCTATGGTTTTCCCATTTTTCGAAAAAAAATTCGTATGTAGTATTTTCCATGCATCTGTTCAGATCTATACGGAGCGCGCTTGAGATCATTTCTCAAGTAAGAGGGTTCGGGGGAGACGATCCTGCGGTGCCCCTCAGTCGCGGCTTGTAGGCATATCTTCTCTACCTGCGCTACGAATCTGAATCTGAAGCATGAGCTGTTATTCAGCTTGCTGCAAGGCATGACCGAGCAAACCGATACGTTGACAATTCTGGTGGAGCAACCTAAGCCTTCCCAGAGAAATCACAGTGCGGGGCATCTGAGTTATCTGTGGCATTATAACACCCGTGCAGTAGAATGTTTTGTTGGTCACGAAGGAGAACACGTCAGATGTTCCCCTTTCCATGACTGCACGGTCCGTTTTCCATGCATGGCGTTCCACCTAATTTGGCGGCCTTTATCCTCGGACTGCATAAAAACAGTGTCATTCAGTGGCGGGTGCTTGGTCGTAGCCATAAGCTAATAGGTTCCTTAGCCTACATCAAATTCCCCAATTTTCACAGAGTTTTACGCACAGTTAAAACGCCTCCTGCCAAGTATTCAGCGCACAGAGGCGCTAACTGCATTCGGATTGAGCCTTGGCACGCTTCGCCGGCTTTGACTCTACCTCTGCCGTGAATCCCTATAGGTGAACTGATAGCTTCTGCCTCCTAGAAGGAGGAAGGGAATGTGGCAGCCGCCTAATTGTATATCTGGTGCATTGCCAAACGGAATCTGCCCGAATGGTCACATTACACCGGTTCCTGCGACGGCGCAAACGTCCCCTAGTGCTCAACTGACCTCTTACAGGCAGAATGCAAGACACAGGCTGCCTCGGGCATCACGCACAAATGTCCTCAGGCTTGCCTCCCCTATGCTAGCTGAATGGCGAAACAAGCCCTTGGCACACTCTGAGTGTGTGTTTCCCTTGTCAGTGATTGCTGCGCTTGATAGTAGTAAATAGAAGAACACCAACACCAATCATGAAAGCTACCAGGAGACCCATCTGAGTCCTGTGAGAGAGCATTTCCTCCTTTTCTTCTGTTTCTGTGGTGCCGTTCGGTATAAGTAAGGTATTGTCAGGTAGAGTGAGAAAGTGGGATACCGCTGTTTCATCCCGTAGCAGCCTTTGCAGAAACCTTCTCTCTTGCAGATGCAGTAGCTGCCGCTGCATTCTTCGCAGTTGCTGTCGTAGCTTGTCCAGCTGTCTTTGCAAATGCTGCTTTGTGGCTGCATGTGGGTTGTTATTGATTTGCCCCTGGCGCATCTCCACAAGAGCTTCCATGTGCTCCTGTTGCTGCCGCTGTCGTTGCTCGTCCCTTTCCCACTCCTGTAATCCTCGCAGCTTAAGCGTTCTATTTGGCTGCATCTGGTGCTGGAAGAGAAAAGGCAGGAAGCAACGGTGCTCCGCTCGCTGGCGGAGCAGCATCGCGGACGCGTCCACTAACATCTGCCGCAGGGAAACTGGGGTAGCAATCGCGATTCTATCGCTACAATTTCCAGCCCAGCAAGTGCAGGTAAAGTTGTTCTCTTCGTTACCACTGCCAAGAGGGAGCTGGAGTACAAGTGGCAGATGAACGGCACTGCGGCAAAGGGAGGCTCCCCCAAAACTCGTGCTGTTGCCAACGCTTTCTCCGTTGGACACGCAAGACGTATCTTCAAATCTGGTTCTTCCTTGGCTGTCATCCGCTTCATCGTCCAGCGGCTGGCTCTGGATGAAAGGGCCTCCATGACCTTTCTCGACTTCGGCGTTTTCTGATGCAAAGACTTCGGGGGAATGGCAAACTGACTCTGGGCCGCTGAAGGGGATTGTTGAACTGCTGCACTTCCCCACCGTAGGGAGTGTTTCCGGATGGGGTAGCTGCTGTGGAGGCGATTGCCGTCCTTCCGCGAATGCTTGCTGCCTTTTCCTGTGGCGGCAGGCAGCGCATTCATATTTTTCAACATCCTGGTGCACAGGCAAGAACATCTCCTCTAGAGTTGCCAAGTCAGCCGACGCGAGTTGGAGGCGGAGAGTCCGTGTACTGCAGCACTCAGCACCAGTCAACAGAATCTACACCCGCGCTGACAGCAACCTCGGTGATAGGCATGATAACAAGCCATTGAACAACTTAAATGAGTTAACCGCGCGCATCACGATCAGCCGTCGCTGCTATGGAGCAGAAAACGCAAAACCACCGTACTCGCGTGAAATTTGATCGGGTGTGGTGTGCTGCAGCACGACCAACAAGGGAAGCAGGCATGTGACAGCCCGTAGTCGCTTTAGCAGAGCCAAAATCTCTGTGGATAGAGGCAGAACAGATTGCGGGATGAGGAAAAGACAGACGTGAACCTGCAGCAAGTAATGGCGCAAGGAGACTCTCAGCAACCTTGAGAATCCCAGTAAGAAGCCGAATCGACGAATGAACTGCTTGCGCGTAATTCACCACCTTGCTTATACAGGGGACCCGAGTAAAAGTGAAGCTATAAAAATATTGCTTGCAAAGCTTTACGGAGGAACAATAGTAGAATCGTAACCGCAGGCTTTAACGCACCCTCCGTTCTGTAGGCTCTGCCTGAACTGCCGTGACGCTCTCCCACTTCTCAAGCACGCGAAGTTCACAATAAGGAAGAGCAGAGGCAAAACTGGTTGCTGCAATTACCGGGACTGCGCAGTACGAGCAAACATTCATGGCAAATATGCGCTCGATGGCATTTCTAAAGCAACCACTCCTCGCCGCGTGAGAAAAGTAACCTGCCCTGTAGGATACGCAAGTTCAAGATATGCGGGCATCCGCGCATTCGGCTAAGCTGCACGTGTGGCTGAGTGAATGCCATACCTTCCACAAAGGGAGCGGCAAAAGGAACACGGAAAACAGACTCCTCCCCACAAGAGACCCGTTGGTGACGCACTTGTTGCCACTGAGATCGCGCACAAAGGAATTCAAATATTGAGGTGAATTCTAGGGATAGGGGTGCGGAAAGATCGGAGGTCAACGGTGGATGAAGGTGACATGCACATGGAAACAATGCAGAAGGTAACTGTGCCGAATAAGAAGAAAGCAGGAACAAGACGCATGCATTAGCATCCAGTGCAAAACGTAAGCTGCCTCGGTAGGCTATACGAGGGCTTGGTCAGCCCTGCACTCTGTGCTCATGCAGCCAAGCCCTAAAACGTGCAGCGGGGTGCCAACTGACGGACAAGTTGTAGTAGACGGCTATCGCTGTGTCTACGCACCTCCACGAACATCTGCTGGCAAAAGCAGCCTACGTCCACCCCAGGCAAAGCAGTAGCGAGAATATTCAGTCTCAAGTCGTTTCGTTGCAAGCGCCGCCTGCACTGGCGCTCCAAGTGCTGCTGTGCCTGAGACACGCAGACGGCACTTCAAACGCCTCCTGATGATTCGGGAGCACCAGCAATAGAAACAGATGCATCGAGCACTCCAAGCTCTACAGGCAACTGATGCTTATCCTCCAGATGCACGTGCTGTCACAGAATATCGCCCCCGGTGGGCATCGCATCCACGCTTGAGTCCGCACGCCTGCAAACGTTAAGGTCGGCTACTTGCAAGCGAACAACATGCATACAGCGCGGCGGCAGAAGGACGCCCGCACACCCCTACACTTGTGGAGTTACAAACATGCTAAACTGCTGGTGCATCATAAAAAAGAGGTGTGTAGATGTGACTTAAAACCGTGAACTCCACATATGTACGAATTGCAGTCCTGCATGTTGCTACCCTGCCGGCGAAAATACAAACACAGAACCGACGGCTGCGTGCTCTCAAGACTGCATGCATCACATGACACTTGAGTTGCACTGGAATTGTAATGCAAAGAGAAGCAAGATGGCTGTTGGTTTTCACGAATGGGAAAAAGCCACTGCCTAGAAGAACCTCGCCTCGCTACTGTCTTGAGGGCTAGCCACAGATAGCATGAACGAGCTCAGGATGCAACCACGGAGATAATAGCAGGATATTATCGAATGAAGCGGGAAAAAGAAAGACTGTATCGTGCTCACTTGGTGCAGAAGCAAGCTCAGACCCTCTCCGCCTGACGCGTCCGAGTATCCGCCCTCAGGAGGCTCTGACACGTCTGTAGCAGAGCACGATATCTCAGCCTGCATAAAAGGCAACACATATGAGTTCGTAAGGACAGGTTGTTGCTTGGCACGCAAAGCAAGAAGCCTAGTAGTCCGGGATCCGATGATAAACGGACAAATGGAATAAATCAAAACGCGCAGTGCGATCTCCGAGGCTAAACATGAAAAGTGAGGTGATACGAGGTAGCTTGTGGGGGCTGCGCCAGAAAATACAGCTGGATGCCGTAAGGGTCCATGTGGAAGAACACAGGTGGGAGGGGCACTGACAGGCTAGCAGCGACACGGCAGACGGCTAGACAGCAGCTTGGTGACGGCCAGAGAAGAGAGGGCAACGACTCCCGAAGCCGTGAAGGCGGCACATATACACGTTGCAAAAGCGAACCCACTTGAGGGGCGACCTGAGCAGAACAGGATGAGGCTTCTGCAGGTTCATCACAGGCTGGCATTGTGCCTTGTTGCGTGTCACTGTGGACTCCAAATGCGGATATCGCCGCACATGAGGCTGGCCGTGGAGAACAAACAGCAGCACCTGCGGAGTCCAGCTGCAGTAGTTGAGGCTCTGCAGGCCTTTTCCGAGAAGAACGGCTTGGAGACTTTCCACTCTTGCTGGATGACTCCGAAGGCGTCGAGAGAGCACTGTCTTTCCTCTGGTCTCCGCTCCAGCAGCTACTTAGGCTGCCCTTGGGTGAATCAACGGATGTAAGCTGCCAACGCCCGCACCAGCCACTTAGTATCGTGGAGGCAGGCTCGGCAGCTGTGAACTCTCCGCTGCCGAGGGCAACTACCTGGTGTAAAGATCCTTGATGCTCGATCGGCTCGCGCCTTGCACGGACTCCGGAGAGCACAGCAGATCTGAGGATTTGTACAACAGCACTCCCTCTTCGGGCAATCGTTTCACCAACGGCAGCTGCTGTGGCCGCTGCACTGACGGCGGCGTTCGGAGCTGAATGACTGTCACCATGGCGCCTTTCCACCAAGGCCAGAGGGACAAGGCCAGCGCACGCCCAATCCCACCCCCTTAACTGCTGCCTTTGGGTAAGCCGCAGCAAATGCAGGGCATCGTACACAGGGGCACCATGCACAAACTCGAATTCTGTTAAGGGCGAACTCCTGCCAGAGAGACTGCCTGCTGATCTCTTGGGGTCCTTCTCACAAGTGCCTGGTATATTGACCCCCTGTTCAGCCGATTCTATCGCCACAGCAGCTGCTACCGGGCATCCACCATTATCGTTTTGGATGTGTTCCCACCCTTCAGTGTGCTCTGAAGAACCATAGATTTCAAAGAAAACAGATCACAGATATATGCACATCTAGGGCATAAAATGATCTAAAAATGAGCATTTAAGGGATCCCGAATACGGGGAGTGCAGTAGAGAAGTGCATATGCCTTGAAGAAATGTCGAAGCTCACCGCATTCAATTGAGGACCTCGTTTTGGGCCCCTCTGCCAAGGAAGGGCCTACAGAGCCCACCAGATATTGCTCTTGCCTCTGAGAGCTGAGTCCACAGACATGCGTCTCCTCATGTGAGTGAAACGGAGTTGAAGGAATCGCGCTTGGGTGGTCTTCCGCTGCCGCCGCAGCCTCTTCTAAAGACTCACGGCTACATCTCGCATCCGGCGCACCCACTGGATCTACAGGCGGCAAAATCTGCTCATCTTCAGAAATACTTGCGTATGCTTCCTCCGCCTGCCCGTGTTGCTCCTCTTGATGCTGCAAACTGAAGTCTACCAGCGCAACTTGCAAGTCGCACGTAACAGGATTTCCACCCGAAGAATCAGTCTTCCTCGTGGCATGAAGGCACGTACTACACTTCATACAGCTACATTCCTGGCCCAAAGTAGTACAGCTGCGCTGATCAGCCGAACAGCTGCAAGTTTGCTCCGTCGAATGCCTTGGGGACATGGCGCCACTGCCGCCGGTACTGCGTGACACAGTCGATGGCAACGCACTTGGCTCTGTCACTTCATCAGCCTGCAGGACTTCCAGGTGTGTCTGACAGTTTTGACGGTTCCTGCAGCCAGGCAATATGGAATTCCACACGTTAGTCAGCATTGCCTCGCACGGATTCGCAGCCACGGGAGCTCCACGTCAGACATTCAGCCGATAAGCGGGTCTCGCAGGTGAAGACCATCCACACATGAGGTAGCTTTAAGAAACTGAGGGTGAATCAGATGCTGAACTGGTCAGCAAATATGATTGCCTCATGAAATACTGTTAAGACGGTTGCGCGCCGAGATCCAGGTCACTCTGCCGATTCCATAGCCTTCCCGCACCGAAAAAGCCGTTACAGTAGTAGAAATCGCCACTGTTCTTCTATATAGCTAATATCGACTAAAGTTGGTTTCCAGGCGAGTTATGGGTTGTCAAAGGAACAAAATGAAAAGCCCGCCAGCGTGGAAGCTGGAGAGTAGCAGTGAATGGAGGTTCATCAGTAGTGCCAGCTTGATGCCAGAGTTCGCAGGCGTAGATTCACAATGAATCAGTATGTGCAAGGTTCGAGAATTTGGCACTCGGGGGAGCGGGCTCTCCACTGCCTCAGCCGGGCTACCTAACGCAACCCTTCCAGCTGAAGCAGCGAAATCCGCCAGCCACTACAGGCACCACCCATCGCCAAGGCCAATGCATGCATCGGTTCACTCAATTTAAAACCTGGTTCAACATTTTTGGAGGAGGAGGCTTTTTCTCAGACGCTTTACGTAGTGCGCGACTGGGCTTAATGGTGACCCCACATTCCGCTGGACCCTCTCGCCGTCATTGCGTGGCAATCACTCTCAGACTCTACTGTGTGTCCACTCCATAGTGCATGTCTAGCAGCCATTGAATTTCAACTGTCCATACTAATAGTGGCTCAGAAAACGCGATGGCGCATTAGTCGCACTCATGAGGCAGCAGTTTGGGATTTTGGCGCTGCTGCGTAGCTGCCCAAGGAGCATTTGCTTTGCTAGGCCGAAATACCAGCTTGCACACATAAATTAAAGAGCGATGATAATAAATCTTTGCCCCAACACTTTGTTTCCTGGGCTTTGCCTTTTTGGCCCGTCCATCCTGCTTTCCTCTTATTGCTGATCAAGTGCTTGGGGCCACAAGCTGTAACGGGCAACGCTCTACTTCAACGCTGTCTAGTAGGCCAGCAATACTAATCAAAATATCCGATTAAAAGTTGGCTAACTGGCACCGGCATCTCTCTTAGTATAGCTTGTTTTTTGCTGAGTCAGGCTACTCAACTGTAATACGACGCAGTGTTGCGTGCGTGCGAGCTAGATGCTACACAACATGCATCTAGCTCCCAATGTTCAGGGAATGATAATAAAGTGTAGCTATGCGTACTCTAGGTGCCTCCTTCTTTTTTTGAGAGCTCTGGTGAGTTCAAGCAGCGGAAGGCTGAAGTTCTTTTGTGAAACAATCAATAATCTTCTATGTAATTTGCATCGACTCTCGAGTGATGTACCCACCTACGCGCAACCCGTAATGGAGTGTTATGCGATACAGCTAGTCGCCGCCTGTCCACCGGCTGTTAATGCAAGGGGAATGTCAATAGCTCCTACAACCCATGCTTGTTTCAATCAAATTGCTTGGAACTTTGCTTGATTTACTCCGCATCTGTCTGGGGAAAAGTTCCTCTGGCTATGCAAGCTGAAGGCACAGAACTCCTGTTGGGCTGCACACACCGGGCGGCAAGCTTACATAAAACCAGTGACTGAACAGCTGATATAAGCGCATAATTTGTCAGCGGACAAAATACTTGTGAATTCATTGAGTCATGCGGATCAAGGCAAGTAACCGGCGGATGGGCAAGTACTCGAGGATTCCATGAGCCGGATGGAGATGTACGTTGTACTGTGCTTTGTAACTGATAAAAAGCATGTCTGCTTGTCAATCGTGTATTGAAGGAAGATGCACTTAATAATGATGGCTCTAATCATGCGGAGGAAATCGTCCACCTGCAGGGATTCTTTCGGCTCGAACCATCATACACGCCCTGTTTCATCCCCTTACGCCGTAATAGGCTCAACAGCAAGACTTGGAACAATAGAGAATGCTAGAAAAGAGAGATGCATTAATAGATCTGTATTTTAAGGAATATGAAACTTTGGTTCGTAAAAGCCACACCGTAGACAAACAGCTGTTGCGTCAAGTCTCTGCAGGACCGGTAGCGACTCAGCGATCAACAAGACCCGTGTAGCTTTCAGAAATGATGGAGTACTAGAATATACAGGAGCAAATGACACGCCTTCTAGCATCTGTTTGAGAAGGAAAAAAACCGTACTTGAAATATGTGGATGCCGGAACTGTGCCAACCGGCCCTAGCATACTGTCCCTTCAGGAACAAAATCTACGGCAGAACTGCATGGGAATTACATCAACGCTGAAATCAGGCAGGAGTGAAGGCTGTGCGGATCATGAAAGGCGTTTCAACGCTCGAATACACCCCGATAGGTAACACGGCTCCAGGGCAGGTAACATCCCTGCTGTTCTAGTGCCTTCTCCTCAAACCCCGGCCCTAACAAGACTTCATTATTGAAATGGGTTATTTAAATAAGGTTTCGTGCTCTCCGTCCGGAATGCGATAAGTTGGCAAGGGCCTCCAATACGGGACAAGTGCGCTCGTGGTTATGCCGAAGTCTGGACCACTATGCTCAAGCTTTCGAAGGGCCATTAAAAGTCTATCTTACGAAAGTTCCGGTTGTTTTTTGAATTAATGAGAGCAGCCTTCAAAGGCTCTTGGGATTAGTGTCTGTCCTCACGCTTTGACGCTCACTTTGACGGCTGCTGTACGCCTGCGAGTCAGCCACCAGCAACAGGCTGTTAAGTCATCGAAGATTGCAGTTGCGTGCAATTCAAGTCTGAGATTCAAGACAGTAGTTTCTCTACTGACCCGAAGAACGCCAGCTTCACTTCAGTCACAGGCCGCTAGCTATGAGGCATGAGTTTGTCGTTTGTTCATTCTTAGACCTTGCCCATAACTAAATTCGATTTGTTGAAATGCTTAACTATGGGAGAGCACCGCTCAGTTATATCAATGTCTGCCATAGCATCCTCTCCTATAATAATTTGTCACCTAAAATTTGTCTTAGTTATGATTTAGATGAGAAGCATCTTCACAATCCCCTTTCAAGGGCTAAGTTCCCTGATAGACGATGAGTGAGCAATGACCCTGCTATAGGTGCTGCACCACTACACGCAAATCCACCGGCAAATAAAGCAACTAAATGCCAGATTCTACACGATGGAGCTCACGTGTCAAAGTAGCCACGAACACCGGTTGCCCCCAAAACAGCATCTTAACAACGCACCTGCTTCTTTATGGCAGGTTGAGTCAGTTAATCCGAAACTGCCAGCGCATGCAACAGCCAAACAAATTAGGCATCAAAACTGAGCTCAGCTAAGGCAAATTGCTGGTCAAGCGAAGAAGGCTCACCAGGGAAACCAAAAGACCCTACGCATGATGCAACGGATTAAGGGAGCTACAGAGGATAGCGGTGCAGTTCGGGACACACCACGGGTGAAATATGCGCAGACACAGATTCGCACCAACTCTCAAGAATTGCTAGTGTTGCTTTACACTGCATCTGAGGTGCACCTGATCTCCAAGGAAAAGATGCAGAGGTGCAGTATGTTTTTGCACTTGTTAGCGCTGTTCGCTCAACTAGATTTGCTAATGGAAGGCAAAACGCAAGGATTGGCGAAAATGCGGCGGCGAAGCGCCACTTCAAATTGGAATAGTTTCCCATCAGCATGGTCCGTGGCTTGTTCTCAGCTGGACTCGTGCGCCACGACGCAATCCTAGGCAT